CTCAACTCTCTGCAAAAAAAAAAAAAAAAAAGAGTAGCAATAGTTAAGATGTTGACCTAGAAACCCAGAGATAGGGAGTCCTAGCCTTAGTCGTGAAAGCTGGCTTTGGACAGGTCACTCTCTCTCAGCCCAATTCATATCAGAAATTTGTTGTTGGAAAAATAGGAGGATGAACTATGTTTCCACAATTGTATATGGTAAAAAAGTGGGATAAAATATTCTAAAATCCTATCTCATTATTTGAAAAAGTTAAAACAAGTAGTAATTTGTTTAAAGGAATATATATATATATAAGGAAAAAATAAAAATATTGAATATATAAGCATTGGGACAAGAATTTATCTTAGGAGGGAAAACTAAGAAAACTTGAGTTGTCTTGTATGTATACTCACAACTACAACCAAAACTGATACTGACTGATGATTATGGTAGATACCTAAGGGATGGAAATTAACCTGAATGAAACCAGGATTATATACACCAAATGACAACAAAGATATATTTTTCAAGGAGTTTATGGAAATATTAATGGATATGAAAACTGTTTATTGGGACTGGAATGAAATTGTTTGCCCACAAAAATATAGAACCTCTATAAAAGGAATTAAAATAACACAAGGCAAATTACCCAAAATATTTTTTAAAATGTTGAACAACTATGAACTTACAAATGTATGACAACATAAAAATTGAGATTTTAAAGAATATACTTATTTGTCTAGAGTAAGATATTTTTCATGAATACATGTGCTTTGGATTTCTAAAAAATCTTGTCATATGTGTTAACAAAGTGAAGATAGTGTCAAAGACCGTTCCAGTTCATAAACCAATGACTTATAAGAGAAGAATTAGAAGTTATAGATGTGGCTAATTTTATTACAAAAAGGAATCAATAATGGAAAACTGTAAAAAGAATATGAAAGATTTTTTTGAGAATAACTTTAATAAAGACCCAGATATAAGGACAGTATAGAATGCTAGTAAAGCCTTTATAAGAAAGCAATTTACTAAAAAAGCAAATTGAAGAAACAAAGCCAAGAGAAGATACAAAACATTATAATATATAATATTCTGCCCCTATTTAAAACCCACTCTTTGATTGTGGGTATTTCAGTGTTTTTGTACTTTGTGCATATAGTAGTCTTGATGCAGTTTCCAATATAAAACTAGTATCTCATAAGTCTTTCTAACTGTTTATCCATAAGTCCCAGTTTAAAAAGTTCTAGCTTTATCTGTATGTTAATCTTTAAAATTGTTTGCATCATCATGTGTATTTGTATCCAACTCTTTTTTGCATGTTTGCAAGACCATCATAAATGGCAAAATATCCCTTCAAGTTTTTCACATTTCCAATATTGATTAAAAGTACATTTATGCATTTTAGATTATTTTTCTTGTGTCATACACCAATAGTACATTACTTTGTAAACATAATCTCTTAAATTACTGGTATAAAACAATGTGAATTTCAGCACTTTAGCCACATTCTCTCCCATTGGTCCATCTGTATATAGTAACCAAAATTCTTGTCCCATTTTATCCTGCATTTTTTTACTTGTTCTTATTCCATTTCAAATCTCAATGTAGTTTATACATTTTAGCAATCATATGTTTATCGTTGTACATAATTCAATTCCAAATTCCACATTATGTAGATCAATTTCCCTACTTTTTATCTATATTAAATCACTCTCTTAACTGTGCACATGAAAATTACTGAAAACTAAATCCCCCTGCAATTAATTATTCTCTTGACTTTATCTTAAATTCTCCATAATTTTGCTACATTAATCACTTCCCTTTACCCATGGCTATTTTATAAAATGCTTCTATAATGAAACCTACTTTTGGGGACAACCTGAGTTCCACATTCTTAATATGGCACTCTTAACAATGATTTTCAACATCTACATTGATTTTATTTTATTGTGCTATAAAAAGCCATGCCACTTAAACCTCAAGTTCTGTTCTTCTAATTCTAACATTCTCCTATTTCTCAACAGCACAACTCTTTTATACAAGCCAAACAGCAGGCTACAAAATACAATTTGGAATCAGGCAATCCTCCTCTTTCTTTTGCATCTTGAAGAACTGTATATTTAACCCTTGATTACTTCCATTGCTATACACATTTGTCAAAATAGGTACTGCTTGATTTAATTTAAAATTTAATTTGCTGGGAGGCATTTTTCCTTCCTGGAGATCTCCTTAATTTCTCTGTCATATGCATATAGGTGGATATCCTAGCCTTTCTTTCTGCTGAAAAAAAACCATTTAGCCTTTTTCAAACAAGAAATTGTCTGTAGGATTTTCATTTTTAATCTCTAATTAACGTGTAATTTCCCCCAAACTTGAAAAAGCATGGCTTTTTATGGCACAATAAAATAAAACCCACTTATTTGAAGTTAAGGAAATGTCTTTTTCAGGACTCTTATATTTCTGTGGAAATATATAAAATGTATTGAAATCTATCTATTTTATTTATAAATTTGTGCTAAGTTTGATCTCTCTTTGCATTTGAATGCTAAAGTTTCATGTTTTGTCTTTTTATTTCCATGTATAATTTATGAAATTAAATATTCAGTTTCAGTCCTTATTTTTTCTTCCAGAGAAGTTCAGACACTATTTTAAATTTAGAATCTATTTGTGATTTGTAATAATATCACCTGGAAATCTTTCTGTAGATTCTTGGAGGATCTTTTTCAAAACCAAATCTCTGCATTTTATATAGATATTTTTATTCCTTTATTATTTCTATAAATAACTCAAGGTGGCGAGCATGAGAAATACTTCCTCTTCCTTGTCCTTAAAATTAAATAATTTTAATACTTAAACAGCTTTATTATAGCTTTTTAAAATATAGATTGTTTCTTTTATTTTTTGTGAGATTGGTTTATATCTTGAGAAAAGCTCTCAATCCTATAGACATCATATCTATAAGCTACATAATTATGAGGTGATGCTATAGATAAAATTCAAGTTTCTCATTTTTATTTTTTAATTATTATAAAGTTAGCAACCAGTGTTAGCACTCTGGGTCACCGGAGTTAGAAGACAGATGCCAGTGAGGTACTGCTTAGAAGTGATGGCAGCAGGAGCTACCACTTTGTTACTTTACAGCAGGAGATGGAACAAAGGAATGAAAACCTGCACAGCTTCTAAAAGAAGGTATTTGGGATCTCCAACCTTCTACCCTGCATGTCTCAGCAAGTCCTCCATAGTTAATCCTATGCACAATAAGATATTTCTCTTTATTGAACTGTCCTAGAAAGATTAGTTAAAGGATCTCAAAGAAATCATAGAATTAGAACAAATTCTCCTTACAAATATTGATTAGAAATGAGAAAATAAAGCATACTACTTTGTTTTATTTTAAATTTGATTTTGAGAAGTAGAAATATTCCTCTGATTGGGGACTTGTAACTTCTGGATTGGTAACATACCTCTAATGCTTACATAATGCATATTGTTTAATTTAATTTTATTTAATTAGTTATATTTTGTTAATAAGTGATATAAGGTCTAGTTTATTATTTTTATTGGAAAGCAATTACTGATTACCACTAATTCCTTATAGTTATAATCGCTAGGTTTTAATTTAACTACTTTGTATATTCAAATTCAATTGATATTTCTTTATAGGTAGATCTCAAGTTATGACTAGTCACTTAACAGCCATTCAAAGTTACAAAAGACACACACACAAACCAAAAGCTATATATGACTCAGTTCAAACTTATGGCAGCTGCAGTGCCCCTGCAGTCATTCACCTTTACAACCTAACACAGGGATCCTACAGTGGCCCTTCACCTTTCCCACCCCACCCTGATGGGACCCCACAGTTTTTAAGTGCAATATAAATAAATATTTTGGTTTGTCACACAGTCAGCCAGATGTTAGACTAGATTTGGCATTTTTGTCTACTTATTGAGTCTTTTCCAAGGACCTGGGATAGGCAGTTGTGGATATTTGATGTTGTTACAGATATCATTGCAGAATGTAAGCTGTTCTAAGTAAAGCTGCCTGTTGCAGTTGACTAATAAATGTTATTATAAATAAATATTATTGAATAAATTATTAAATAAATTATTTTATTATTTAATAAAATAAATAAAGAAGCAAACACTGAATGCTGTTTAAATCAAATAAGTTCATTAATAAAAGTGGAAAAACGCTCTAATTTAAAACCATACTTACCTTTTTATGACAGCTGATATCTTTGTAGTATACATACCTCCTGGCACTGGCTCATAAACAGCTTCTACTATCTGCAAAATAAATAGTTGTTGTCATTTTTAAAGTGATTTTTATATTGTAATTTTCTATTTGATCTGCATGGCATATTTCACATAATTAGCTTCCTCTTATAGCTGTCACTTACAAACAATGAAAACAGATATATGTGCAGTTTTACATCTGATTATATGTAAATAAATTGCTTTAAGAATATGATACTCATATAAGGAACTCATTCAAAAATAATCAAAAATTTAAATAATGATCCATATTTCATCATCATCATAGCTATTATTTATGCACTGCAGAATGAAGTCTGCGTGTTTCCAACCAATACAGTCCTGAGCATTCCTTTGCCAATTGGACCCACAATTTCATCTGAATAAATGCAGTTAATTAATTTATATCCATCTTTCTATTCAATCAAGTATACAAAATATATTTTAATCATAATTAAAATATAGAATGCAATGTGGAAATTAAAATAAATAATTGAAACAAGGCAAAAAAATAATTAACAATGAGAAGCCTTGTGGAATAAATAATTTCTTAGCTAATTTTCAAATGGTAAAGATAATGAAGTCTCATCCAAATCCTAGGGAAGGCATAGCCTGGGACAGATATGTGATGCAGGAGCAACATAAGAAATAATTTCCAGATTTTCTGGATTCTAAGATGCCAGCGCCTGGATCAGCTGCGGCTGCATTGACTCTCAAAGGTGAAAAGTTTTTGGAAGGATATAAGGGATATAGGCCACATAATCGGGAAGGTTTTAATGTGTTTGAGCAACGTAGTGGGACTAAACTAACATATGAACGACAATCTTTGTTAGTATGACGAGTTTTTAGCTGCTTCGGAACTGTTGGTGAGACCGTTAAAAGTCGTTTGTGCTGTTTGAAATTGTTCTGCTGGCAGCAAGATCTGACTGCTGGCACAGCAATGGATTCTATTGCAAATCAGGACTGTTTCCGAAGGAGGAGAGGAGAGGTCCCGGAGCTTATGGAGCAAATGAACTGGATGAGGCTGTCGGCAGGCCCAGAGGAAAGGAGAAAGGCTTTTGGAGGAGTTAGAGGCGGTGGCAAAAGCAGCGTGCTCCAAGGGCGAAAAGGACCGAGGCTCCTTTAAGGAAAAGGTGGAAGAGACAGCATCAGAAAAAGGAAAGGAGGTGAGGGTGTCGTGCAGGACCATAAGCTAATTTGAGGGCTAATCCACATGAAGCTCCATTTCCATCTATCCTGTTTGCCATCATTCGCTCCCTAGAGACTAAAATGGATGTTCTGAAACTTGAGTTGGCCATGAACAAAGAGTGTATATCAGAGGTGGTGGCCCTTTGAGAGATGTATGCAACAAAATTTCATTTTGATGTATGCCGATTGGTGCACATTCAATAAAATTATTGTTGTTGTTGTTGTTGTTGTTATTATTTTAATGTCCAAGCAGTTGTATAAGAGACATAGTCCCTCAATCATGCTTAATCTATTTAGAGATTTACAGATTAACATCAAAGTTCCAAAGCTATGGTTCTTCCGTATGAAGCATTTTTGTGCAATGAATATATTTTTGGATTTTACAGGAGTTCCAGAAGTTTTTTCATTTAGAATTCTTCTGGAGGGTTTTCCTCATTTTTTCTCTCTCTTTTTTTAGAGAAAGAGAAGACAATAAAATAACTTTGCACTGCCTCTTGGCTGGCAATAGTAGGAACAGCCCCTTAATAGACCTTAATTGTGATTTGATGAAATAAATTATGAAGCAGCTAAATAATTGTCAACTTTTTTCTAGTCTGTAGGTTTCTTTATAGAGAATTCTTCATACCTGAGATTACTATGCCTTTTAAAAGCTAATTTTGAACCTCTTTAAGATATATGTCACATTTTATAAATTCTTACCATAAGTATAAACTCTGAGGATTAAGCAATCTTGCAGACTATGAAGAAGAATATTATTAGTTTTGATTTATTTTAATTCTCTGAAAACTACAGGGGACATAGCACTTGCCATTGGATCACAGATCAATGTTAGATGTCTGTGGAGATTCTCCGTCATCCAGGTTATGGTTGTCCTAAAGGTGCTTTTTCAGAGGTAACTGGACTTTCTTGTTTTTCTTTGGAGATATTTTGCTTCTCATCCAAGAAGACAGCTGGTTATTTGCATACTTTTAGAGAATCACTGAGGCCACTTGGAGGTTTGTCTGTGTCCTCAGGGTCACCTCAGTAGTGAACTGTGGGGTCCTTGGTGCTCTTTGAGCTTGGTGGTTTTCTTGCAAACGTTTCATTACCAAATTAGGCTGATGATGTTGCCTAGTTTAATATTAAGACATCTCCAGGAAAAACACCAAGCTCAGAGAATACTACAGATCTCATAAATAAAGAAGAGGGGAAAAGTTAAAGAAATTGAGCTCTTCCGCCTCTTAGGCCCAAAATCATCAAAACTTTTAGTCCAGTATTTAATTTAGGGCATCTGGAGAATATTTCATATATATAATCTAGCAGTTTATCTATGTCAGAATAATTATCAAAACTGTTTCTCTAGACCTGCTATAAAATCCTAATGAAATGCAGGATTTCTGCCTGCAGAACATTTTCCACGCGGTATAACAAATATAGGATTAAAAAAGCAATTAAATGAAACAAATAGGCAAAAGTAAATGGTATAATTTCATTTAGCAAACCTGCATACTTTAGTTGCTAAGGAGAGCATGTTGGTACTATAAAATGGAGGATTGAGTGTTGCCATCTGATATAAAACACATCCTGCAGCCCAGACATCAGCCTTCTCACCATATGGTTCACTCTTTACAACTTCAGGGCTGCATAAATGAAAACAAAATACTATATGCAATACAAAAAGGACAGAGGAAAGGTCAGCAAATATACGTTACCATCAAAATCCTGAAGAGTTTATAAAAAAATCTATAAAAATACAAACAATTCAGAGTTTATGTAGAATGATAATGGCTATTCGATTTCCAACCTAGCCTATTAAAATTACTTGTGATTTCCTCAGTCTTGCAGCACAAAAGTATGCTAGTATAATTCTGACAGCCAAGCTGGTGCTATTCTTTCAGTTTTAATGTAGGACAACTTAAGGAAAGTGATGGTTGGATTTCCTGCTAGGGGGGGGGGAATCGCTAATTACTATCCCTAACATGGATTATTAGGAAGGAAGCAAATTTTGGAAGATGCCTAGATTTATGAGTTTGGATATCTGTCAGAACCTCATCTCTGAGAGGGATGGATTTTTCTGCAGTAAAGCAGGACTGATTATTTTCTATATTGACAAGAACCCCAACATTTCACAGAACTCAGGATTATTTCAATCAGTCTCTCGGTCAATCATTCTCTCTCCTTTGCTTGGTCTTTCTTGCTTTTATCATTCTTCCACTTCTGTGCCCCTTCTCATTCAATTTTTCTCTTTCTCTCCTTTTCTCACTTTTTCACAATATATCATTCTGTCTCCCCCCCATCCTCTTATATTTCTTTGAGTCTTCCTTTCTCTTTATGAATTGTTCTCTCTTTCACCCAAGTTTTCCTTGTTATCTCTTTTTTTGCTTATTTATTCTCCATCTCTATGTGACCTTTAGTCTAAAAACAGCTAATTGAAGCTCCTGCCAGGTATCACTCCTATCACCCCTGTAATCCTAACATGGCAGCATCATTGCTCCTGTTGTCAGAACCATAATCAAAACTGTCAACACTAGTTATTTTACAAAAGGCAGCAAACAAGCTTGCAATTACTTGAATTTCTTGTTGGTATCCTATCAATAGCGAAATTTTTAATGCAATAATTTAATAATTGCCTTTTCACATTTCTAAGGCAATTGTCTGCAATGTAATCAGATGTCTCTTCCATTTTTGGGAGCTTGATTGGCTGCAACCAGTTTTTATTTATTTGTTCTAAAATGCTGGATTAATACCCTCCTCCACTTAGAACTTTAATTTAACATTAACATATAAAAATTAAACTACAGCTTTGTAAAACTGTAGCAAACAGTCTAGATAATACCCTTCGATGAGTATGGAATAAATTCATTCATTTTTGTACCATGGCAGCAGCTAGCTAATCTTACATTAATCCAGAGGCTAAACAGAGCCAGAATTGGTTAGCCTTTGGAAGTGGCTAAAGGATAGTCTGGGAGGATGTAAAAGCATTCCAGAAGAAGGCAAAGGCAACCATTTCTATTTCATTGTCAAAGAAATAACATGAAATCAATAGAATTTGAATTCTACAAGAAGTGAACTTATTCATAAAAGTTTCAGTCACATATCTCATATTCTAATCAAGAAGAAAAATCACCAGTACCCTGGTTACAAACCTGTAGTTACTGTCTAGCTTAACTTTTTTTCAAATTTATGTTTCTCTTTTATATTTAGATAAATTAGTAAATTTCTATAATAAGTAACTATTTTTTATAATTTGTAGATGATAAGATTTGCATTCCCAAAGCAATGCACCAAATTCTGTTTTATTTAATATTTGATAAGAAAAGAAATAAGAAAATGAGAGCAAGTTTGTTGTAGTGGTTAAGATATTGGCCTAAAAACCAGGTCACTGTGAATTCAGTCATTCTTTCTCAATTTAACTCACTTAACAGGGTTGTTTTTGTGGGGAAAAATAGGAGAAGAAGGACTTCTTCATATTATATATGAAAAGTGGGATAAATATTTAAATAAATAAAAATTACGGAAGAAATTATAATAAAAAATGGAATGAGGCTGAAAAAAGTTACAATAGGCTGAATGATAACATAAAGTAGTGTCCCTGAAAATCTCAAAGAAGAGAGGGTTTTGTATACTAAGGTAAGTTCATTGAAACACAAAGTTCCTTTGGTATTTTGAAATAAGTTGTACAAAATAAAACCAGGAGAAATCAAATAATAAAGAAATAAGCTACACATAGGATTATACCTTACATCAAAATACAGTTAAATCTATAATTAATCTTTCCCAACTAGTGGCTAGCCTCAAAACTGAAACTTCAAAGTCAGTTTCAAAAGAAACTCTAAATAGCACAAATTATGATCCGTTTGAATATATTACCATTTCAGTACAGAATGAGAAAGGGCACAGAACAAGAAATACATTCATTTATTTATTTCATTTTAATCCCATTTCATTATTTTTATAAATAATACAAGACAGTGAATCTATCTAATACTCCTTCCTCCTATTTTGTCCAGAACAATAATCCTGTGAAATGGATGGACTTGAGAGAGAGAGTAACTGGCTAAATACATTACTATACATTTCAATCTGTGACCCATCAAATTTAGTTCTGAAGCCCTCTTTTTCATTCCCAAGAGTCCTGCAAGTACCATCATATTTCAGCATCAAGGCATCAAAAATTACACAGGAAATTTCTTAAACTGTTTATTTATTAGACAGTATTTAAACAGCATGTTTAAAAACAATCTATATGTTATAATATATAAAAGTGATCTAAACAGTACAAAAATAAAGGCAATTTATTTAAAAGTTTAATATTAATGGGAATTAATGTGTGAAGGTCAACACTGAGACCTGGTGAATAAAAGTCAATACATACAGTATGCAATACGGCAAAGATGTTCTATTTTTGGTCATCACCAGGCTTAGTGCACAGGAAGATTGTGGTGACTGTTATAAATGGAGATTTCTTTAACCTTGCTTAAAAATTATGTTTGGTAAGAGCTCCTTTTTGCAATTCCCTAACTGCAGTTTGGGTAATCATATTTTTTTACATGTCCTTATGACATTGTTTTCATCTCCCACCCCACAGCTGAGACAGCTTAAAGATATTTTTAACTGTTCCAAATTTAAAATGTTTTCCTTCCTTCCCTGATTTCCTCTTGCTTTACATGTGATCTAGTATTTGTCTGGATGATGATCAGAGGTCAGGATTTATTGGCTAGTTTAGGCTGTTCCTTTCCCCTGAGAACTGTTAAGAGATGTAAGTTCTGGACATGCACATCAGCTTTCATAAGAACAGGCATCTGACTTGAGCATAATAACTGAAGTAGTTTATAACTATCATGAAAAGGAAATTTATTTACAGGAATACGTAATAGGAATAGGCAAAGACAGGAAGACCTGGAGGAACGTTGTCCATGGGGTTGCGATGGGTCGGACACGACTTCGCAATTAACAACAACAACAACAACAACACCCAGCTAATTGTATCCTTCCAGGGAAAAAAAGCCCCAAGAATATGTACTCTATGCATATTTCCCTAGAAAGAAAGACTTGACTGTATTTGCCCAATTCTGCTCCAGTATACAGTACATTAAGGAGATTTATTGATAAAGCTTTTTTATTGCTGGCAGATGATACTCGGTGCAAGAGGAAATGTAGCTAGAGGATCCACTATTTTCTTTCCTTAACATAATCTGCAATAAAATAGTAAGGGTGCTCTTCAGCCTCAATAATGAGGCAGAACAGTGACTGGCAATGAGAGGAAAACAAATTATGCCTGTTCCAGCCTTAAACATTATCTGTATTTCCAACAATATTTCAGGGTCACATACAGAACCCTGAGCCATTCTTAGAAATTAAAAGGTGAACAAAATGTTTTGTTTTGAAATGTGGCCAATTCACCAGAAGGAATTATAAAAGGTAGCTTGGCCAATACTTTGGTATAGTAGTTAAGGCATCATGCCAGGAGATTATGAACTATTCTACTTTAGGCATGAAAGCTGGCTGTGGTGGGACTTTAGGCCAGGCATTCTCCAGCACAAGATTATTGTTGCATGGAAAGTAGGAAGAGAAAGGAATATTAGGTGTGCTTGCCACCTTGAATTATTTATAATAAATATTAAAGTCAGAATATAAATAAAAACAAACTTAGACTAGAGGTATTTTGTAAAAAGTGGTGACCCACCATGCCAGCCGTTTTGTGAGTGTCTATAACTCTAACTTTCAAATGTGTCCTTGACTTAAGCCAAAACACACTTTAGCAACAGATGAACTTTGTTAGTAACCCATAGCTAATCCCCATCAGTAGCAGAAATAGGGCAAGATTCAACCTCACAAAAGCTATTACCAGTAAGCACAAGCAGATGTATTTGCCGGTTATCTATACCATGGCATATCATGTCATCGGAACATAACCATTTCGTCTGCTACTCATATCTTGGTACATTCACAAGAAGTAATTAGAAAAAAGACTTCCAAACTCTAAACCTAATATTCTCTTACCAAGAGTACAGAATAGTTCCAACAACTGAAGTGAGTTTGCTGTTCTCCTGTTTTTGCTTTGCAAGACCAAAGTCAGCTGGAAATATAGAAGAAAAGCACATTATGTTTCTTATAGAAGATTCACTGTTTCAAAAATAATAAAAGTTCATGTAGAAGAATAATTTTCTCTATCCTTTTATACCACTAACCTTCATTCATTCAACTTGCTCATCTTCTGCATTTACCTTTGAAATGAATTTCAATCAAATGTAACAATTTTCAGGTAGTTGCCTGCCACAATTCTAATTTACAATGCCATTCATTCTGATACCCTGTGCCAGCAGCATGGAAATGAAACACTGTTTAAATATGTATAAAAATCCATTTATGAAGATTAAAACTGAACAAATGCCAAACTACAAAACATACTAGCTAAATAAATACTTAAATATTTTTTACTTTTTAAAATTATATCAGCTAGCATTCTTGGCAATACTGTAATTTCTTGAAATCAAATCCAAGAGTAAAATAACAAGAGTAATCTTTTAAAAAGTCACTTAAGACATTTTAGTTGTCTCTGGGCTATTATGTTTCAATTTCTTTCTCAAATTACATTAGCTCTGTAAGGAAGAAGCTTCTTTCTTCCTGTGGGATTTACTTTGCAATATTGGCTTTAATAGCTATGAAAAGCAGTGAGACAAGATTGTTATGTTCATCAGCTTTAGCCTTCATACAATCAGTTGGACATTGAGTTGCTTTTGCAAATATAGACATATAATTACCAATACTTTAACCAGAACAGTATGATTTAACCAGGTAAAATTACAGGAATGGTATGTTCATTTAAAACCCCAAGATATTGTTTAAAGGTAAACTCGCTCTGTAACACAGAACATCTTAAGATGGAAATGCATATATCATTTCTGTATATAGCGCCAGAATAAGTTACTTTATCTCTTAAGCAATGTAATAATGCACTGATATCAAAGCACTTGATTTTTTCCAAATCCCTGGTGAAGAATAAATGAGGGCAGAGAAATATTTTGGTCTCTGTTATCTTCATGAGTTGTTATTGTACTGGACAATTCCCCTATTAGCTGGTCTACATATTTTTCTAAGTGGGCACAGAAGAAGGATGAAATACAAGTTATTTGGAATCTCACTGCCTGTCAAACATCCTCCTGCCTAATGCTTCACTTGCCCTCTTTCATAATTTTCTTAACCACATAAAGAATGTCAGAACTTAGAGGAAGGCAGGATCTGTTGTAGGGGCAACTCCAAGCTCAATACTTTCTAAAGGCTTAGAGGGGGAAATCAAAAGAACAGAATGGCCCCTGAAATGTCATTCTGGACTCCATAAATTAGGACTAAAATTCTAGGTAAACTTTAGAAATAAGCAATATTGATCAGCCTTATAGAAGAGAAAAATGTCTGAGAAAAGTAATAAAATCTCCAACGTTAAAAATAAATAAAAATATCATTTCACATAGCTAATAATTAAGCACTGCTCCATGTTCTCCAAATGATGCCAAAGCATCCTCTTATGGGACACTTTTATTTAGTGCTATTAATTAACCCAAACTCCAAACTTATAAGGTGTCATTTTAGACTGAGCCATATTTAGTGACAGACTTATTCAGATGTTAAATGACAAGCTCAAGCTCTGCACTAGAAGTCATATTTTTGTTGTTTTTAATGATAATCAATATGGCAGAAAAAAGATACTACCTTGAGAAATGGCTGACAGAAATGACAGCTTCACATTAATCATCATAACAGGCATGGTCCAGTCAATGCTTAACATATGGAAGAATTTGAATTCTATTAATATTACTATTCTGTTTCTGATTATGCCTTTTATGACTTAGTCTAGCTACTCTCACAATTAATATTAATCAGTAATACCACATGCACTAGTGACAATAGTTCTCATTGTTTCTCAAATATACTAAAACATTCTCAATGTTCAATATTAAACATATTTTCAAAAGAAAGAGAAAGGATGGAAGATTAAAAAAAACCTTAGAGTGTAAATCACCTATGAGTTTTTCAATGAGGTCACTTTATAAAACAAATACCCATTATTTTTCAATGCAAATTTAATGTATTGACTACTGCAAAACTTCGTGCCTATAATCCTTCTGGCTAGATTTTATCTGCACTCATAGTGTGATTGTATTACAATTTCTTGGGTTAGAAAAGCTGAATCAAAAGCCAGTGTTTATTTTCTAAAAAAAAAAAAAAAGGTGCCGGAACTCACACAAGTCATACAACCTGCCTTGCCTACCCTACAAGGTTTTATCCAAAAAAGGTGCCGTTCTGGGCGTTCTATGAGAAAAAAAGCCCTGTCAAAAGCTATATATCATTTTGCCTTGGCTGCTCTGGTGAAAAATGGATTAGAGGTGTCAAGTGTTTTTTAATTGGAATTAATAAAGAAATGGTTATTTTTGCATTGTCTATTAATTCAATCATAACAGCTGATCGGCATATGGTATAGTCCTCTCAGGGAACTGCAAAGGATCATACAACAGTTTCTAATTCTTTTATTTCCTTGAAATAGTAGTATCTCCCCCAGCAAGATTATTCTGACTTGGTATATTTTCAAATACTTAATCCCATGGAATAAAGTATTAATAGTCTTATTAATATTTATATTTGGGTGAATAATTTTAGTGAACAAAATGCACATCAAAAGGTATTCAAGCCATATCAGAGAATCACAGAAATATGATTTATGCCAGAATGATACCCATAAATTAAAATAAGTAAATGACTTTCCATATATTATGCTATTTTTTTTTCAATGTAGGTTTTTCTTCACAATTTCTGCTAATGTAAACATTCTGTTTATGTAATGTAACCACAGAGTAACAGTTGACATGTATTTCTCTAAGTCTTCCAGTTGGTTTGGTGACAGCTGAAGTTATTAACCTGATTTTCCTTCAATTTGAATCAATGCAGCTATTTACTTATCTTTAATTCCTTTTTATGTAATTGATACCATATTTCCCCAAATATCAAACCAGTCTTATATTTTTGGGGGGACCAAAACACTCATTAGGGCTTATTTTCAGGGATGTCTTATTTTGCGACCGGCCGCCCACTCCATCCCACCATCTGGTTGCTCACAGCCAGAGAGCTGTGTGTCACACTGGTGCTGCCTCAAGTAGAGGTGAGGCAGGTGGGGAGATGGAGTTGCCCAATGTGCCCCGTACCTGCTTACCTCAGGGACCCCGCAGCCAGGCCACTCCCCACTTGGCAACCTCCCCCACCTATTCAATGACCCGGCTGCCTGCTCCGCCTCTTCCCTTTTACTTCCCTCCTGAGCCAGACTGCCATGCTATGGAGGATGGGCGGAGGAGGCTTGGTCGCCTTACCTGGTCCCCCTCCAGCATTTTGGAGCTAGGGAGAGTGATGGCACCTGCTGCTGGAGGGGCTTTCTTCGGTCCCTGCCAGTCCTGCCCCACAGATCATCTGCCCAGCAATGGCCGCCTCCTCCTCCTCCTCCTCCTCCTCCTCCTCCTCCTCCTGCCACTTGGGTCCTGCGGTGCTGCATCAGGCTGCCTGCTCTCTGTTGGCCACCTGTATTGTATGATTTCATTGGCAGTAACTCTGAAGGCCAGTGGTAGGCTCTCTGCATCATCCCTGGGTGGGTTTGTGGCTTTGCCCACACAGCCACGGGAAAGTTATACCAGGGCTGGCAGCAGGGACGCTCCGAAAACCACGCTGCCATGACTCCAGCCAATTCTCCCGTAGCTATGTAGGCAAAGCCACAAAGGGGGCCAGCCCAAGGACAATTCAGAGAGCTACCACCAGCCTCCAGAGCTGCCGCAATTGAAACCATACAATATAGGCGGTGAATGGGGAGCAGTCAGCACAATGCAGTGCCACAGGACCCAAGTGACAGGTGGAGGAGGAAGACGAGGCGGCCATTGCCACACAAATGATCTGTGGGGCCAGGCTGCTGGGGAAAAGGTCATTGAAATGGCGAGGGAAGTCGCCAAGTGGAGAGTGGTCTGGCCATAGGGGCCCCATCTGCCTCACCTCACCTTGTGGCAGCAACACCAGTGTGACACGCACTTTCCTGGCCCGTTGCAGCCTAGTCTGTGAATTACTGGGACTGCAACTAATGGACGCAGGCTTATGAGTCCTGGAAGGAAGCCCGCGAGGTGCATCCAAAATGGCGGCTGCGGGAACCTGCAGTGGTTGCTCGTATGGTCAGGGCTGAGATAAGGCCAGCTCTTGCTATATAAGCGGGAGCCTGGTTACTTAAAGGATTGAGCAACCGAGCCACTAAATCCACGGAGTGACAGGAAGGAGAGATCCGTTTGAATCTTCGTTGCCTTCGGTAGCAACCAAAATGGCGGCTGCAACCTTCGGGTCTGTCTGGATGTCCATCAGGCCTTCGAAGGCAAGTTTGTTAACTGTAAAGGTAACCGTAGTGTTATTCGCTGCGCGGGAAGCTGGCAAGTGGAATGTCTCCAATCGCTCTGGAAAACATCTCCGTTTTTTAAAAAATGACGTTTGTTGCCTTTTTTGGCACCAAAATGGCACCCGTGATCATGCAGCTATGAAAAACGGCTCCGAAGGACACAGAAGGCAAAATTCTGAGGTCGTTACGGCAGCGCTAGCCTAACGAGGGAATGGCCAGTGAGGAGAGTTTCCCCAGAGCCCTGGGGAAGAGAAACGGGGAAGCTGTAGCTGCCGCCACCCCCACCCTTCTAGCCTCATATCAGCCGATTTGAGGTAGTGCTGAGCCCAGCACTGCAGAAGGATAGTTGGGGAAAAAAACAAAAAAATTCCCAGTTGGGGAAAATTCCTAGATATGTCTACTAACCTGACTGTGAAGGTATGAGGCAAGGAGAATTCACCAATGGTTTTTCTAACCTGCTAGATGTCTAATACCTGAGAGCCAAACCTGACACGTCTTCAAGAGCTTGAGACCAAGTCAAGACTGGATCTCCTAGCAACAGGGGGCGTGTCAAGTTTGGCTACTTGGTCTCAAGAGCAGGCAGACAGAGAAAACCCATTGGTGGATTCTCCATCTCCTGTACTGGAGAACTTAGGATTGCATTAGCTTTTCTAAATTGCATTAAC